CGAGTTCTCGAACGTCTTTTCCGTCTCTCTACACAATTATCACGTCGATCGTAAATGGACTATGTCAACACACCTTGTGACATTCTTTTACATTCTGTTCCCGATATCGCGCGAATGCATAGCGAGCATGCGCCACAATTTCTTAGCGTGACAATTCATTTTTGTACAAAGATAGCGCATACATATATACGTACATACATATATACATACATACAGAGCTACATATGTACAACGCACATAGAAGAGAGTGGATTCGATCTGTAAGCGGCTAAACTTTTAGCTGCTCCGGAAATGACCTAACCTAGGAGGATCGGGCAAAGTTCGGGGGGGGATTCACACGATCGAGATGAACGATTTCGATTTAAGCGTGTTGATAACGCCGCTAGATGGAAATCGCGATGTCAACGTTGTCTAATCGCGTGTCGACGTTATTGCGCGCACCCAAAAGAAAAAGATCCTCGGAGAGATCCTTCCGAATCTTGCAGAATCCGGGCGGCAACTGCTTCGCGCTGCGGCTTAGGTCGCGCATGCTCAACGTACTAGGCACAGTGGCGTAAACCGAACAATCGCTGCGACAAAAACGTCTTCGTGTGAGTCAGATGACGGATCGCGGTTCGTGACGACCGCCGCGCGCTTAATTTCGCGAAACGGGCGCGTGACGCGTGTAACTGACGAACGAGCGCGCGGCGGATAAACGCGCACAATATTATCAACAACGAAACGAATCACGCGGCTGCACAAGCGTGACTGAACCGAACGGAACGAAGTTTCCGCCGGCGTGGCGCGGACGAAGTGAAGTGCGCGCGCGTTTCAAGCGCCGCGCCACGTGATTGGCTGAACGCGACTGGAGCCGCTCCTGACCGGTCCGGGTGCGATGAACGCGCGCCGTAGGGACAAGCGAGAAAGCTCGATAACGAGGAAGCTCGTTGTTGATCATGTTTGAGAGATGCGCGAGTCCCCGTAAGCTCTGATAAAAGATTGACGTGTCACAATAATACACTGCGCGCACTCGATTGTTGTGTGAGTAAACAATGTGACAGTTTTCTAGGTGAGAAAACACATGTGGCTATATACATATATGTATACGTAATCTGCAATTCAAATACAAAAAATTGAGACGCATAAATTTTGTCCGCGCGATTAATTAGAGATTGATAATACTTAAAAAAAAAATTATCCAGTTTATACTCTATTTTAACTTAAAGTGGTTATGCCAGAGTCTGTTGACCATTTCTCGTCATACTTTTCTCTATTTATTTTTTTTAATAAACTTCAAATCTTTGTTTAAAGATTTTATATTTTCCTGTAGCATTTTTCTATGTGGCAAAAAAATAGTTTATAGATAGTTTTCATTTTATAATTTTAAAATATGTTGATCACTTCATTTACATCAGATATCTCGAGCGACATTTAGCGCGTTCCAGCCTTTCAAATAATAACCACACACATCACGTTATCTTTAATTTTAAACGCTCGAGGTAAGTCTGTTATATAAAATGTCGAAGTTGATTTACACGATAAGCACGATAATCCTTAGATTATTTCGCGCATGATAAATCGTGACTAGCGAAAGGAGGAATGCGAATCAGCGTTGTCGAATTGTGTGTGATTGTTGATTATCGGGTGAATGCGCAGGTGGGGCGTCCGACATTTCCAGAATAAGCGACGAGAACGATCAGAAAGATATTTCTTTGAGAAAGCGATGCTCTTTGTTGTGCGCAACGCCTTTCATTAAAATTCACAATATTCAAAAATGCATAACATTCTCATTGTTAAACTACTTGGGAAAGAGAGAGAGATTAGTCTTGTTTTACTAATATCAAAACATTCGATACAAGAAGCTACAATCGATCTGTACGAGTTTCAACGATGCAAATAACAGATTAAATAGCGTCAATGACTGTAACTATAGATAAACAAGAGTTTTTTTTAATTTTGCCAGCGCGCGACATCGGCGCAATGTGTTTGTGGTTTCTTTGTTTCTTCGGCTGATGAGAAAAGCGGCGTCTCTAATCGCTCGTTGGGACACACGACGCGAGCTGACAAATGATTGGATAGCGCGCAATTAAACGACAAACTTGCAAACACTTTCTACTATGTCGGATGCGACCGTAAGTTGAATGGAGAAATCACGCGCGACGTCGCAAGAACAAGGGGGAATTGTCGTGAGAACCACAAAAAAGAAAAAAAAAAAAAAGAAAAAGAAACAACAGCCCGCCGTATCATTCTTTCCTAAAGTTTCACCGTTTTACACACGCGGTTGGAAAAAAGGTGAAAAGGTAAGCTCGGCGCGCATATGCAAAATAAAATTGGAGAGAAGTGGAACGGTGTCGGCCGGAGGATGCGTCGCGGCCTCAACAATGTGCGATCTCCTCCCCGTTCGCCTCGTGAGAGAATTCTCATTATTACTTTGAGGTGCAATAACACGGAAAACAGTGATTAGTTGTGTAAATAACCGGACAAATTGGACGGTCTTCCGACAGTAAAACAACTAAAACCCGCGATGTAGGGAGTGCCAAGACGTTTTTTTTTAATCGTTCAACGGAGGCGTGCGAACCGACTCGCATATAAAACGCGAATATATATTATACGCAAATTAATATCTCCGCAAGGTGATACTTTGGAAAGAGAAATTAAAAAGAACAAACATTTATACACATCTAAGTATGAAATGTTATATAAAATGTTCTTTTTCGTTTTCTCGTTGTATCTTGTGATCAAAACATTCTTCATACATCTTTTTTTACTATATAAAATATCACGTAGTTCGGATTTATGAATAACAATAGATAATTAAGTAATAATAGATAATAAATGTGGAAAAGGATATGAACTTGCTACTACAGATAAATATACTTGCTACTACAGATAAATATGCGGAGTGTCTTCTTGCCTGCATCTAATCAGTTTCGAGCGTGTCTTCCCTGCAATCTCCGGTAATTAGTATTATACCTGCCGCTTCCTAAATAGATGCTTATTTCAAAGTAGAATGTATCATTAAATGTACATTTACCGCAAATCAATACGCATTGTATTTGATATGCAATTACATTCGTTAAGAACAATGTGCGGAGTCCTGGTAATTGCACAAGAAAAAAAATTTAATTGACGTGAATTCTATTAATACAATCTAGATCTTTTTTCATACACTCTTTTTTTTGTACATTGTTACCACTACACGAACATTAGTTACTAACAATTGGATAAGATTGTGAGAAGATGAAAGAGTATTAGGTGCAAGCCAAAACACATGTGTTTTTTTATTAAATTTAAAAACCAATACAAACATTTCAATCCCTTTTTTTAGATTTTCTCTTTAGCAGATTTTTCTTGAGCAGAACATATTGAACTTTGTTGTGGTGTGAAGTGGATTCGGTTGTTCTCTGGTGATTTAAACAGAGTTACGCTTCACACATAACGAGTAGTCAACCTACTAATTATTATTTCAATTATTATTGCTTACACACTGAAGAAAAACTAAATAAAGGAAAATCTCAAAACGTCCGTCATTGGGTTTTTACATTAAATAAAAATCACATATTGTACATTTTGTGTTTTGCGACTCGCATTTGCTCTAATATTCTGTTTGTTATCAATACATGGCAATAACAAATGCATTATAGTTAAATCTTGATAGAAAATGGACGTGCGAGATAAGATAAAAAACGTGCGATTCAATGAATATAGAGAAGAAAGAAGAGGAGATGGTTTCGCGTGCCAATTACTAAATAGACTGGTACATCTTGGATATACCGTTCTCTCGTATTTGTCGATAGTCGCAAGAAACGATTCAGTGTAAATATACAGGCATTGTTTTCTTTCCGGGGATCAAGATGTTCCACAAAGAAACTGAAAGGTCGCGATGTTATTAACCGAATTATTATTGCTCCGTTGACGGATTTAATACTTAAAAAGAATATCACGGAAAATGTAAAATAAATTGAATGCTAAGATATTTCTCGATGATTATTCGGACGATTTAAATCTCGGAGAAAACAAGCGTCCGAATGAACACGACATGTTAAATTTTTGCCATTAAATGTTATTTTATTTTCAACGTACAATGCGATCGTCCGGTTGTTTCTTGCGCGGTATCTAGAGCACGTAATAAAAATAAAACGAGCAATGCCACATACGCAGCTCGGAAATATAGAAATTGCTAATCAGTAACACGCGAGACGCGCTGTCGCGCAGCGAAACGCGAGCGTGTCATTTTCCGCTCGTATGAGAAAATTGTTTTCCTGAACTGTATATGATTCTTCTCTCTTCTTCATCTCGTCGTCGTGGAATTCGGTTGCAGCGTGTCGTATAAGTAAATCGACGGCATTTCAACGCCTTGACGAACGCGATAATTCGCCGTTTTTCCATCTCGTTTAACAGGGATAGATTTCTTCTACGCAATACGCGCAATTTCTGCTCGCCACGCATCGCGGAATCGCGCTCGAGCAAAAGGCAACGCAATTGCCACTCTACCGGCGCGCAGCGTCGACGAGTTTTTCTATTGTAAATGGCTTAGAGATTATTATATTAGAGCGCGCGCTCGCTGCATTAATTTGCAACGTGAACGACCGAATATCACTTCCACATTTCCGGATCTTGCGGTATTTTTCCATTCTCCGTGCTATTACGTTTGTAATTGCAAGTGATAAGACATAGCAATTAGACGTAGTAATTGCACGTCAAATTGTGAATAGAACGCGGTTCGAATCGAAGAATCTTGCACATTTGAAAACATTGTAATTTTTTTCTGCGCGGACTCTTCTTTCTATCGCGAGAAAAACTGCGCGCATCAAAGAAGCACGATGCACCACAAAATCAGTTATTTTCACCGAGCTCCGAGTTGGAAAGATTAATTTTGTTTTTTCGCGCAATAAAACGTTTGTCAACTTTTTCTGGCCTCTCTGCATTACCACTTGAATTATTTATTTAACTCACGCTGCGTTTTAATATACAAAAAAAAAAAAAGATTTGCGAAAGAAACAATGGAAAATTGTACTTACTGAAGTAGTTAAGAGTCTCCCGGATCTGATCCGGCGATAGTTTCAGATCGACGTCCTCTACCTTGAGCGCGGGCGCCGGAACAAACCAATCGGCGTTCTCGTACCCTGCAAAAATAGAAAAAAAAAAGTATATGAGGTAACATTTAAGTCTCGCTTCTCTGAGCTTCATCATCGTTCGCTCAATTGCGCCGCGCGCTCCGAATTCTCGGCAATCTAGACTGTCCGTCTGCTGGAACAAAGATTGCAAAATTGTGCTAAACACCTCACGGTCTGCATGTTACGCGATAAAACACGCGGGTGCATTATATTCCGGAGCGATATATTATCGCGCTAATTAATGCGGTAATCGCCGCGTTCCCTAAGAACGGGGGAGAAACAAAAACGCCATTGCTTGTCGATGTGAAACAGAGTCGGGCTAAATGTACTGTAGCTAATTGGTGGACACGCGTGCGCTCTATGCTCCCGCGCGGGCACACCCTGCTATATAGAGACGCATCTTTTTAGAGGCTTCTAGCTTTTATTGCTGAGACACGCGATACGGGTCCACCATGGTTGATAGTTAATCACTCGGCTTGTGCCACATACGGAAAAAAAAAACTGTACAAGTGTTATAAACTCGACTTTCTTTTTACACCTCAACAATTTTTTTATCATTAACTGGTACTTGTTGAAAATTAAAATGGATTGAAAAAGACCATATACGAGTTATATACAAAGTCTTATTTGCTGAAGAAGATCCCAACAAGGATCGAAACGTCTGATATATATATTAAGTTTCAGAATAAATCAAATACACCAAGACTCTTTGTATACGCGTATAACTTGTGTGGCCTTTTCCACACAATCCATTTCAATTTTTTCTATATTTTCCTTGATATACGATTGAACTTTACTACTATAATCTGTTTTTAATATCACAAATTATTTTTGTGCTTAAAATATATTTATATTGATATTATATCAATTTGTGTTTTTTTTCTATTTAATTACATCCATCTTTGGCGTTAACATAATTTTGCAATATTAATATTTCGTAAAACGCTTATTATTAATATGTGAAACCCTTGGAGAGTAAAGAAGAGAAGCCGACACAAAGTGTCATTTCCGCAAAGTTGTCGTTTGCGAGATATTATCCTACATAGTTTATCCTACATACATTGGACAGGCTTCCATTTAATTAAGGCGCACGAAATTCGATCCGACGAACGAGTTGCACTCTCTCGCATTTCAGGGCTTTCTTTGTCTGTTTAAATCATCAATATTATTAATTTTTTTCTCAATCATATCGATCACAAAAACGATAAAGAGCCACATATCAATTTATTCCACGTCGTAAACATTTAACGTTAATAAAACATATATATGAAATGACACACTAATGATATATTTTTATTATCGATATAAAACACAAATGATTTTCATCGAGACATATTTATCTGTTAGGTATGTTGATTAGCTTATCTCTCAAAATATATTTATCAGCGATATGGTTCTTCGCACACAGTTGTATTATTTCAGAATATAAAAATTTTGATAACAATCGCTACATTTTGCGTCAAAAATTCGGTCGAAACAAAAATAACTTGCCTTGAAACTCCGTCAAGGTGTCGGCTCGAAGACGATATCTCGGGATCTGTTCTTCCAGCAAGCTGATTATCTCGACCTCTGGCAATTCCTCACCGCTGCACACATCTGTAACAATCGCCGCAGCATCCAGCGTTACTAAGCGCCGCGAAGGCCGTCATTATGTATTGCGCGCACCATAAATCACCGTTCCGCTTTAGACTCGCGTGCAAACTCGAGCGTGCGGGGAACGTTACGCGTTATTCGGTCTCATACGTGTACGTGCTCGAAGCACGTGCGATAAAATTGCACGCATTACGCGTGTCTTCCTTTAAAAAAAAAGGAAAAACTTTTACGCCCCAAAAAAATTATCATCGTCAATTCGAGAGAACGTTATGACGCACGATTGTAAATTCTCGATGGTATAATACATAGTGTGATTTAATTATAGTGTTGACGTAACAACGTGTATCATAAAACGCGTACGGAGAAGAAGGAACAGAGTAACGCGGGAGAAAAGCGTGATTATAAATATAATTATTATTCACGGCATTTTATTGTTTATGAAAATGCAACGATGCGAACTTGAGAAGCACAAAATTTCGCACATAATACGTCAATGAATTTTGCTTGTTACTTATTCATTGTTTTTTATGTACAACAAGTATGTACGCCCCATAGTGGTAATATAAAAAATATATTCTTATATACATAAACATTCTTTTTCTTTTTTTATACACATCACCATAAAGATATTAAAAAACCATCGTGCGCGTTGTATTATACATCGCGCGATAAAAATCAACTACTCGGGAGGTAAGATAAGCGCGCGTGACCGGTATGACAAAAAAAATCACATGCAACACAATAAGAAAAGAATATTAAGAGGAATCCGCGGCTAACCGCAAGTAAGGAACTCTTTGAGGAAAGACGAACGCGCATCAGCAATGCGTTTTGCACGGAGCACATATACAGATGTACGTTTCGAATATGACCACAGAGTGTTTTCTACTCAACCAAAAAAAATTTTTAAAGCCTTGAAGCAAAATTTGTTGTCGAGAAGTTGAGAAAACATTGTTACGTCGCAATTACTTGACTTTCTTCTGTTTTTGCATACATTAATAAACACATAAAATTCACTAAAATATTTGAAACTAACTAAACTAAGAATTGTTCATTAAGTTTTTTATCCCGAAAATTTGGAAAAAAATAAATCATTACAATCGTTGCAAAAATGACAATCACGGAATGTATAGTTAATGCGCGCAGTACATCGCCAAGTCGAATCAGATCGACGATAAAAGCAATTTATCGTACTAACCTGACGTGTTTCTCAAAAGATTCCCGTACATCCCATAGCAATAGGAACGCGTCGATTAAGAAAACCATGTAATGTGCTTCTTTCGCAGAAAAGTGCAATCTGTGCAGTGCCGGCGCAGTTTTGCAACTGGTGATGCTGCCACACCGGGGAAACGAGACTCGGTTTGCGTGAACTTTGTACTTTTGATGCTGTTCTCGCTCGTGAGACAGAGATGACCCACGAGGAAATAATAATCCCGCTGCATCGAATTATCACGCGCGGTTTAGCACATAATTGCGATGATGCGGAGATTAGAACGTCTCGTGAGTGTTTTGCTCAATATAAATGAACGAGACGCTGATGCGGACGCGCGCGTTTTTCACGAAAATTTCCCAGATTTCATTAATAAAAACAACGGATTTTCTTAACAATCTTTCATTTGAATTGAATCGTGGAAACCAGATCGCAGAACTCGGCAGATTTATAACCGGGAATTATAGAATTATATGGCACGTCGGGAAGATACGTAATTGTTTTTAAGAACGTGCGGATTGAACCGTTCTTCCAACGTAACTTATCTAAATGATAAATGACAAATCAATCTTTGCACATTCGTACCGAATGAAAGTGTTTTCGCGTAATTATTTTTATACTAACATTTGAAGACACCGCGAGGAAAGAACTTGATAAGTCACATTTTCGTAATTTCAGAAGAGAGCGATTTAAAGTACAAAACGTATATGTATTTCTGTTACGCGTTTTATAAAAATGTTTGTATCTCTTCGTCCATCAAGAATTTCACTTTCTCGTTTTGGATAATTAAAATACTCCATTTTAACTTGTCAAATAACATCAAAAACAGAAAATCGAAAAAAATTGACTTATCAAGACAAAACTTTTCTCAACAGAGCACGTGCTGCCACATATTGGCAATCGCGTGTAACAAGAAGGTTAAGTGTTGCAGACCGGAGTTATCGATATATTTACTATGGTTACCTACTGCAGATTACATCGATGTGTGTGTGTGATTATTTGATGAAAAAAAAAAAAAAAACATTTTTGAATTGATTTTATGACAATAAAAGTTTGTATAATCTAATTATACCTTTATTTAATTTTTTGCGCCGACTTTATTATTAAAATTCTTGATATAATTTTATATTTTATCAAAAGTTTTACTTTCTGTTTTATATATTTTGCTAATAAAGTAATTCTTTACTTCATTTATTTATTTCTTAATTGACTGTTTTTTAAATATAAAAAACCGTTGATCTAAAGGAAAAACAGTTAACAAAATGTGCAAAAAACTCTGCGAAAAAAATACTGCAAGCAAATACCATACCATTTCGCCATTTGCTGAGAACAGCCTCGCGTTTCTCGAGAAATCCTTTAAGCCTGGCCGGGCCCCTGGGCCTTCTCGCTTCCTTTATGCTTAAGTACATAATCTCACATCCGGCGTTGGCCGAACCCGCCTCTGTCCTTCCACTTTTGTCATTAAGGGACCTTCTTACCACTGCCAACCGACTCTAATTTCTGCCGTTTCCAAGAAATTCAATCTCAAAATTCGTAAATTACGTAAAACCGAACTGGCGGCAATCCATTGAACACACATCGACAACTATAAGCGTTTCGCGGCTTTCGCGAGATCCGCGACGGTTCGCCAAAGTGAGAAGCTAACGTGCCAAATAAGTTGCACAATTAGCCTCCGAGACAATGACCTACGTCTCGGCCTTATCAATGAACATATGACATAACTATATCCATCGAGCAATGAGTCATTACGTAAAAAATAATTCCACAACTGTTATTTATTTTGTTCGCGACAATCGAAAATAATTAAACCGTACGAACCGAACACCTTATCGTTGAGCGGAAACGTAGCGAAACGATGTCGTAATCGGCACGGTTTCATTTATCTTACGTCAAACGTCGCCAATTCCCACAGGTTTTTTATTTTTAGTGATTACTAACAGAGCGAATAGTATGTACTACTCTCGTCGCGATATATCACTGATCGCAATTTGCTTGTAAACTCGGAAAACGTTCTTTTTGACACGCAAGCTGCCGAACAACTCCGTCGAATGGACCGTCGTGGAGGAAAATAGCAGCAACCTGAGCGGTTGGAGTTTGGCCAATCTCGAATCTTACTGATCGAGTCATTAGTCGAATAAATTTAATTTCAAAAGCTCTTTCAAAAGATAATTTAAGAGAATAATTTTGTAAAAATTAAATAATAATATCAAACCATCTTATCCATAAATAATTAGCGCACAATTGATTTGCCACATATTTCTTTTCATAAGCGACATCATCTCTATTTTTCTTTTTTAAACATGGCCGTGGTATAAAAATATATTGCAATCTAAGATTAACCATTATGTGGGATATACTCACGGCATTTAAATATTAAATCGAAAGTAATGCTCGTACAGAAGCGAAAGATTCGGGTCATGCGGATTTTAAAGCGTAGAAACGATAATTCTGTTTTCATCGTGATGCAAAACAAATGAGACGCAAGTGATCGATCAATTTGAATCTTAATTGACGTAGCATTCTTGACAAGGTTGCTGGCAAACGATAAGAAGTCAAGCATAGACACGCATATATGTCTATGAAGTCAAGTAACCTTAAAAAAAACGCACGTGCGCGTATAGCCTATGCGTCCGCCGTTACATAACGAGATGAGAGAATATATAGATCGGCGTTTGTCTAATAAACTCTAATTGTGCGTATTTTCGCGGCTTATTTCTCATCGCCGAAACGTCGACTAAGCTTTTAGCAAGAAGTACACAATATGTGTAGCGACGCTCTGGCTCAGAGTTCGAGAACGCGCGTTGCGAAACTAGAGGCCCTTTGTAGGTCGCCTATTTCGAGAGGGAACCCGAATGTGATTGCGTTCCCGATATTTCGGACCGCGAAACGATTTTTGCGACGCCTTGGAAACTTGGATTTTTTGCAAAAACCTAATCAACCGTATATTCGATAGAGAGAGCGCAGTGAGAAAAAAAATTAAAGATTCTTATAACACGGTATATAATAATGTTGCAAATAATTGCGATGACGACGATATATTTTGCTGCCACGATGATAATGATGATGATTATGATGATGACGGCGATGATGATAATGATGATTACGACCCTGATACTGACGACGGCAAAAAACTTACGATGATGACTCGAACGATAACGATAATGATGATGACGATCGCGATGACGACCGGGAATGTAGCGTGGCATTATTATCCGCCGGGCAGCAGGAGTAATCATCATTTGGCTCAGGCCAATGGGGAACACCATGTGGAGGCTCGGGAAACAGGTAAGTCTGCGTATGGAACACTTTATAAAACTACCCGTGCCAGCGTCTACAAAGACAGTTTCTCCTCGTGCGCTACCGACGTCGGTTGAATCTATTCCGTATCCTGCTCAACGATCTTTGTGTGAACTCGATCGGAACAAATCGACGCGCTCCGTTCTCTTGGAAAAAAAAAAACATACTTTACCGAAAGGATGTGTAATCATATTTTTTGACGCTATCTGTGAGATGCGACATTAATTGTGCCGTTTGTGATTTCTAGTGTCTCAGCAAAGATAAAATCCAGTGAGAGAATCGATATCTCGAAGGCAATTGTTTCCCAGGCAGCGTCGGTTCGCGCAACTGGTACGTAGATAAAAGCGAGACAAGCGCGGTCCGTAAACTCACCCGTGATGGTCTCAGCGTCGCGGGTGCTGACCGGGCTGGTGACTAGCTTGTTCTTAGACGACCTTAGCGCTTGGAGAGTCGCCCTCGCCGTGGGTGAGACCTTTAGGGAGGCGGCGGCTGGTCGAATGGGGCCTTCGGGCCGCTTTGGACCCACATCTTCCACGGTGGCCAGCTTGGACGCTGTGGCGACGAGTGATATCGCCTCGCTTTCCTAAAAAAAAAAAACGCAATTTCATTGTTATGCTCGTCACCCGATTAGAGATTATCCGTCAGATTAGAAAAGCCAAGGATTCGAAGAGTATTACGTTTTTTTTTTTGTGCGTTCTCTGTTGAAAGAGCGGCACAAATTATTTTTATAAAAAGTCGCGATATCTTATTTATTTACTAGAAGTTTAACAATACGTATTGTTTCCATTTGTTTCTTTGTTCTTTAAAACAGAACTTCAGCTACGTGATTTCACTACGATTCTGAAGAGACTTATTCAGCGAGCACCGAACAAAGCGCGTTCCTCTTCGCGCGTATCATCGCTGGAACAAACGCGAAATATGCTCGAAGGGAAAGAATTTTCCACTTCCAAGCCCCTAAATATATTCATGGGGAGTCGGTATTTAAGACCGGTCGCGCTTATTTAGATCGGTATAAAGCCCCGGCGGACGCGCGCGTTCATTTTCTTCGTTTTACGGCTAGTTTATTTCAGGACAGTGACTCGAGAAAGACAGCCATAGTCATTTTTGTTTGTTTTTGCAAAAGCTCCTTGTGTCTATGCGAATCGTACGATTCTATCAGTCGCACGATTCGCGAATGTCCCGAAGATGCTTAAAAAAATCCCACGTAAAACTCCACAAAAAGTATTTTACAAAGATATATTTCTCAAAATTAATTTGAGTGTGCTCATAGATATATTTTCTGAAGTTTTTCAGTTTTTTAAATGTATTTTCAAGAGATTTATTTTATTTGAGAAATATGATTTTTTTATTAATAGGCTTTTGGTTAATAAACGGTGAAAGTGTAAAAAAACCGATTAATAGACGTCTGATTGATAAAACGTCGCTTACATCAGCAAATCGTCTATTTTTAGACGATTGATCAGTCAAGCGATAAATCACAATTCTACTGACAAAAAGTGCAAAAATTCGATATTATTGTGTTAGAAAAACTAAAATTTATTAACGCACAAAGATGCGCGCGTAAATCTTATTTTAAGAAAAGTTCTTGGTTCATTTATTGTCAGATAGCATATCGATGCGACTGATAAAGGCGATGTATGATTATTGCACTGACACTTGTAAACACTCGTTCTATAGATATAGATACGCACACACACACACACACACATTGAAACCAGTGATGTATCGTTATCGTTTGAAATTCGAAACATCTGCGAACTTTAACGCATATATTTCGCGTCTGATTGATGAGTCGAGCGCGATCAATAAATCGAGGAAAATAACGACAAGAAGTATATTACGTAAATTCGTCAGCAATAATTTTACAAACAAACCTCGACGTCGTAGTCGAAACTTCGAAGCTTTGATACACCTGAAGACGGTCCGACACGCGTTATGCACATTCTTTCTACACGTTGTCGCGTCAAGGCTCGTTAACGTTTTCGCCGTCAATTTCACTTTCCGATCTTCTTCGGCGGTTCTAACTTCGCGAGCAAGGTTACGAGACGGTGTGCTACGCTCTCTATGCGAGCGAGAATGTCATATAAGACAGACAATCGATCTCCAGCGATGCCCCCGCAATTTCGTGGAAAATCGAAATGATCGAGTAAAGCTACTGACGCACACGTTATAAAAAATTTACGAAACTATCGAATAAAACTTTTGGTGCGTTTGCAAATGTAAAAAAAAAATTTATCGATTAACGTGGAATAATAAATTTAATGTGGATAACGTAGATTTTAATAAATATAATAATAGATCTTTTTAACGACTATTTTGAAAAAAGTAAAAAAATGATAAAAAGAGCAAGTAAAAATGAAGAAAAGATAAAAATAGTAAAAACCAAATTTAAAATATTCAAGATTAATGTTTTAATACTGCGATACATTTACGATGTGTAGATTTTGAGCAAACGCTAAAAATGCAAAACTCATTTCGTGTGGCACAAACGCGCTGAAGTAAATTAATTGCAAAAATGAAACGTTTCAAAAGTCTTTAATTTCACGAAAATAGTCACGAGCGAGTCTATTCTCGACTTCTGTGTTTTCTGTGATCTATTATAGAAACATCGACAGTGCACGCGAGTTTGTTTCGTGTACGAGCAGTTTCAACGTGACCACATTCACTAAACGTAGATGCGTCTCACAGGATCGAAGAAATCTTTCCTGGGAGATAGAAATGCGATTTTTCGCTTTCACAAAGTTGGAGAGATCGGCGCGCTTATTGTTGTTTAATTGAATTCGTCATTTTGATGGAAGGTACACCGAAAAAGAAACTTTATCGCAACAAGTCATGTGCGTCTCGAGTATAATGCGATCTTTTTCTTCTCGCGGTGCAAAAACCAATGATATAGTTATCGTCGATTTCTAATATTTCACATCAAGAGAGTAATTAAACACAGAAAAAAAATCAATATAGATACCTCCATATTTCGCAAAACTCATACGCTTCACGCCGTGACGCAATCTGCGACTCACTGGCGCAATATCTGCGGTGCCGCACGGCCGTGTTTCAGATAAGAAAGAGAGATGCAACGTGCATAAATAATTGCACGGCGATATAGTTTTAAATTTACGCGCCATAGTTGCGCTGGAGTCAGTCACGTCGACTACCTTTTAGGCTAACAGCTTTGTACGATCGGATAGAAAATTCTAAAAAAAACTCTATCCGTTAGCTAATCAAATCTTTGTTGTACAAAAAAAAAAAAAAAAACACAGCAATGAAATCTTGGACATTTGTGAGACTTACGAAAGAATACGGAAACACAGGAAACAGCAACTCGTCGGAAGCGTAATAGGCCGTCGTTATCATCGATGTTCGCACGTGTCGCGCCAGAGACCCATCGTGAATAAAATTTGACGGTGTCCTTCTCATATCCGTCGGGTTTGTTGCTCCGCGCCTTGTTCTCGCGGCTCTTGAAGACGCGCCTCCGCAAACGCGCAGCATTTTTCGCGAATGTCAAAAATAATTTTGAGAGAAAAAAAGAAAAACAAAAAGCTTATATCGCATTTTTCTCGGCGAAGCCGCGATATCCTCTTTCTTTCTCTTCTCGTTGCGATGATAAAAAACACTGCGGAATCTCTCGGTGTCGCTGACGTAATTTGAACATTAAAATTACGCGATGCGCACACAAATTCGCGAAGAGATAAATGTACAGAGCACAACTGTCAAAAAAACGAATGCACAGGAAACGACTTCGATCTTTCGTTCGGATAACGGTGCGATAAGTTCTGTAAGATATAATATGTACGTTTCACACACGCGTGAAAGCAATTTGTGAAGAACCCGTCTTATCTATGGATGTTAACTGATAAAAAAACAAATCAGTCGGTACACTTTTGTTTAAAACTCTTTGTTCAGAGTTTGTTTTGCATGCAAGAAAGTAAAACAATAAATACAAGAAATTTTAGCTAAAAATCGTCAATCATAGAAAATCTTCTTCGATAAAAATGTAACATCAAATAATTTTGTATCGGTTGATACCGCACGATCACATAAATAATTTTTCATCACTTGACACTTCGCGCGCAAGCGCACGCGGCACGCGTGCGTGCATGCGCACACACACACACACATTCACTCACTTACTCACTCACTCACTCTATCTCTCTCTCTCTCTTTTCTCTCCCCTCTTCTGCTTTTTCTTTCATTCATCATTAATTCATAATCCAGTTGCATATTAATCGGTGTTTAATTTTTTTACGTCAAATGTAATCACAGGTTGAACAACTTTGTATAGGTACTTAATTATACAATGTTACAATTTGCATACAAGTTAGCGACGTTAAAAAAAGAAGAATTTCCGAGCGCAAATTTCCGCTTTGCTGTGACTTTCATTATCGAGATAATTCTCGCATAAAGATTACTGTCTTGTTGCGAGCGAGAAAAGAGAGTGCGTGCATATTATGCAACATAAAGATTATTATATATACATATATATACCGCACGTGTAAATTACTTTTTGCAGATAACACATATACTGTGTATGTGCGGGAAACTTGACTTGATTGTATAAATACTGCGACTTTTCAGACAAAAAACAACTTATCGCGTATTTCATATTCAACAATTAAATAATGAGTTTCTTCGTTCAATGCAAGAAACGATCACGGCATTATTATCACAATTACTACTTTAATTCGTAATAATTGCAACGTATAAAAAAAATTTATACTTAAACATACTTTAAGTATAAATAATAAGTTTTTCGAAGTTCGTTATACGTAAAATGTTTTTTCGTTTTGTTTTTCCTAAATTAGAATATTTTATAATTGAATAAATTGTAGCGAATGCGTCGCAAGAGGCTACAGAACGGATAAGCTTGACTAACAAAGCGATCTCGAAGAAGCAGAATACATATCGCGTTATAACGAGTCGATCGCTCAGCGAATTTTTGCACAGACTGTACATCGCTAAGTCCATTCGACTCCTACCAAGATTAAGGTAATACTCGGCTGATATGATACAATAGTTATGTAGTCTTTTCAGTGCTCTATGGTGCTTCCGCTGGATGGTCAGCCGCCGACACTCACGAAGCTGTGGAATAAATTTTGCAACCGCTAGTCGAAAAAAGAGGTACGAGTCTTCATCAATATTACTTTGTCATATGATTCGCGCATGTTTGACACGCGCCGCTCTCTCTTTCTCTCTCTCGCGCTCGGATAAAGATTAGATTAAATAATCTTCGCGAAGAAAGCATGCAGAAACGAAAAGCACTAGGGGAACGAAGGACCTTAAGAAAATATTTTCGTGTTTACTCCCTTCTGTGCCCTTTTGTATATAAACACATTTTTGATTACAAAATATGTCCTAGACAAAGTTTGTTTCTTATAAGATCTGAAGAAAGTTGAGATGTTAATTGTTATATTGTTTTATAATAAATGTGTAGGTCTTGGAAAAAAAAAAAAAAAAAAAAAAAAAAAAAAAAAAAAAAAAAAAAAAAAAAAAAAAAAACAATAATACTTACCGTAACGTAGTACAAAGATTTTGGTTTCCACTATGGGAAACCACCACAATCACCAATGGAAGAAGTTGTGCAGGTACTAAAATCAGAGAAAATGCGCACAGTTAATACTTCTGAAATTTTTTCAAACAAAAAATCTATTCTTATGTAATTGTTTTTACAAAATTATATTTAAATATAAAATTATATTATATTTAATTACACTTTAAGAAAGATTTTTACAAAAAAAAAATAACGCTTGACAGATTCTCACAGTTACCACATGTATTTTTATTTCGTACTGATCTTATAAATTCGCTATTCCTCAAGTGTTTTACATCTCAATATATTTTTACGTAACAAAAGAATTCTATACAGCATCTGACGCAAAGACAGATGCTGCGAAACTGAGAAATAATTATCAACAATTGTGTCTGGCAGCAAGTAAAACTTCTCTAAAGAGACAACTTCTCTCTCGCGACTATATATTCCATATTACATCAAGTTCCATAGATCATGTCATGTAGAAATGACACATCAACGAACAAATAACAACAAAATCCTTCAAAGAAACGAGCAAAGTATACGAAAGGAGGGGAGAAGAGTTCGGGAGTCTGTGTATGACAGGAGTACATTTTTTTTAGAGGTTATAAGAACGTTTAAAATGATATCTTGCAAGGATACCCGGTGCAAAGTGCAAGGTGCGCGTGATCGCACGCCAACCGTCCGTAAGATGCACCTGTCTCCCCTTCCCGCGGACGCGGAGAAACGACGATAACGATTCGGCCGGACAATCGGATCAGCTGTTGACGTACATACGTACGTATGTCGCCGCGCGAGAATCGGCGACGCGTAAAGGAGCAGTCGGGGCTTACGAGACACTTGCGAATGCGCGATCGAGTCTCGAGGCCGCTCGAGTGCTCCTTTTTGACGTATCGATTGCATGTTTCCTGCAACCAGCACGAAGAGGCGGAGAGCGGGAATTAGGTTAAAGGACGGCCACATCGCGTCGTCCCCGTGATCGTTTCTCTCGTCGCTTGTTCTTACCGTGCGTCGATGCCTGGCGCACATTCTTGCTTGGAAATCTTCACCCGGGGATATTACGCGTGTGTCGATGCTCTTCGGCCGCGTGCAGCACGTCACGTCACTGACATTTTCCGTGAACACTCACAAAACACTCGTGCGCGTCGTGCGTGTTTTTCCCCGTTGACACGACAGGACGAGACAGGGGCGCGAAGTGAGTCACCGGACGACGAGAGACCGGATCGCGAGAGAGGTGCCGTGCGAAACGAAGACACCAGGTCGCGTTGTAAGCACCAGGTCAAGTCGAAAGCACGCGTTAAATATAGGATTGTAAAATCGTGTGTGCTGAGCACACTCGGGGGAACGCGCGCACGATCGAGTCGTAGACTCAACGTCGTCTGAAGTTAGTTAGTTTCTTTTCGAGAATTGCGCGCCGCGCGTCTAGATGCACTTCGTACTTCGTGACTTGAACACATTCGACTGTTGTATCGACTGTGTGACAGTCGCAACGGGCGGTGTGTGGGAAATCGAGTTTATAAAATTGAAATAATATGTAAATACATATTAAAATTAACGTGATTACTTAATTTATTAATTGGATCAAAATTATGTTTTTACGGTTTTAATTTATAGCCATTGGTGCACAAATGTCTAGATGTACACATGTACATGCTATGTATTCTAACAAGTAGTGACCTCTAATTCTCTCCTTTCCTCCCTATCTTGTATTTAAAAAGATAAACATTATAGTGGTTGCGTTCCGTTGTTCACCGTACATACTAAAATATATAATCCACGTGACATATACATTATAGATTTCCAGTACTGGCAATAACTTTCGGAACGCAACCCATATATAATGCCTTTCAGCTAACTTTTGTTCGAACGAACAGCTGATCTTTGTCTTTTCAAATAAACTTTTTCATGATAAATCATTGATGCAATGGAATCTATTTATTGTCACGTTAACATGTACAAAGTATTCAATTTATGTAGCAATTTTTAATTTTTTCTTTATCGAATTTTGTAAGTTTAAGGTGATATTTATTATACTTCTCATATGGAATATATTACATCCAAACATACACACACGCATATTTCACGTATCATATTTGAATAAAAAGTCAAATTAGGTAACTAAATAAGTCGTTGCACATAACATATACATATAAATATATCATAAGAACATATTTTATATTTATATATATATACACACACAGAATATACATACATTATAAGTGTGTGTGTGTGTGTGTGTGTGTATACATATATACAACATTATCATTTATATCAATATCGAACATTTTCTATCATGCAACATTATATTTTATAATTCTGTGTAAGCGCTAAATAAGTTTATTTCCTTATTTATCGAGTTTACTGAGAAAAAGTTTCTATTTATATCTTCAAACTTGTAAATACATATTCTAGATATTTTTATCCTAAAATATAAAAGTACACGCCCTTCCTGCTAAAGAAATAAATCTCAAATTTTCAGTAAAAAACATTAGATTTCGTAAAATATCTGGGACAATAAAAAATTATTATTCCCAATCGATTTCTTATATTGACAAGTTATAAAATTTCTTATTGACTTTTGTTATAAAATTATTATTACACGACTCCCGATATCGAACTTATTGTTTCCGCAACAAAGCGGCCATATTTTTGTCGCACTCACACTACAACTGAGCATTCGTAATTACACAACCTGCATGTGTGTACTCGCAGCAGGATCGAAGCATTGTTGCACACATGTAACTTATTATTTCCAAAAATTCGATACTTCGTTTCGTCCGCAGTCAGTTTCAACAACCGGCGCGAGAGCGCGCGTATCAACTGATCATGCGCCGTTCGAAGTTACACGGACTGGTTAGAAATGTCTAGGAACTATACGTTCAGAATATATTACGTTTTGTCATCCCTGAATTTAAAAAGAGCACATTTGACGTCGATAAATAAATGTGAAATAAAATTTTTAATAAATTATTTAATTTTTTGCATAACATATATAAAAATACATTAATATTTTTACAATCGGATGTTAGAGACATATATAAAAGTTTACTGGGCAACGTCAAAAATTTATTAGAATTGCAATTCCTCTGATATGATAATTGTGAACAAATATGATACATTAAAAACTTACTGATTTGTAGTTAATTTTTGTGTTTTCAACAAATTAAAGTACAACTTACAATTAGAGTAAATAAAATTTGGCGAACTCAACAATTATGAGTTTCTGCAATTCTATGAGAATACAAATGGTTTTGCAAAATGTGTTTATCAGAAATATAGACACAAAAACGATATCGCGAACAAGTACCGAATCAGTCCGTTTTGACGCGGCGCGACCGCCGCCATTCGTCGCCTAGAGGATTTTTCTGTCCGACGGCTGGCAACCTGGATATCGATTGTCATTATTTATATCGTACGTTTCCTCTTCAGTCATCGATTCACTTTTTACATTTTACATTTTTACAGTAATGAGAGAGTTAAGTTTTTCTCACGGGCGTATGGTACTTTAAGTTAGCCCCCACATGTGTGATCATAGGTGTTGTTGAAGGGGAGTCGAGTGTGTTGAAGAGAATGACGGATAGCCAGCAGCAGTTTTGCTTGCGGTGGAATAACTTTCAGGCGAACATCACAAGCCAGTTCGAGGCGCTTCGGGATGACGAGGACTTCGTCGACGTTACCTTCGCGTGCGATGGCAGACGGTTACAGGCGCACAAGGTCGTCCTTTCCGCGTGCAGCCCTTACTTCAAGGAGTTGTTCAAGGTTAGAAAACCATTTTCTTCCCGCTCCCCACCTTAGACATATATGGTCCCTCTCTCCCCCACCGCCCCCTCCTCTCGTGTGTGGCTCCCCTTCATCCTTCTTCCCTCTTGCCGTCCCACGGCGACGGCAGCAGCCGCCCTCCCTCCCGCCTCTCTTCTCGTCCCTCATCGTCTCGTCTGCTTGCCTGTCTCTTCCCATTTGGCTCTCCTCTCTCTCTCTCTCTCTCTCTCTCTCTCTCTGCTCCTTTCCGTGTATATCTCTACGTGCATGATACATGTGTGCGTACACGCGCCTATACATACATCATATTTTGTCGGGGTCTCATCTCGCGATGAATAATTTCAAAATTATACAAATGCTTATTTATGTGACAGGAGGACATTTTTTTTTGTGCGATTTTTTATCTTTTTTACTGCAAAGAGACTCCTGCTCATTTCAAAAGACTAGGCGACACATTCGTGCGCACTGTTACGTCACGATGTGCACTGTACAATTTTTTTCGCTTACCTTTCTCACGGCAGAGGGGGAAGAGGAGACGCTCCCTCCTTCCCTACGCTGGTCGCGACCGCGCCGAACAAAATTTGTAATTGCTTCCCGGCAATTAACGTGCCGGCGAGGGGGGTAAAGTCAATAAATGAACGCCATATCACGTATGTTTGCCCGATCAATCGCTTGTTTTAGAGAAATTGTACAACAGCAATCTATCGCGTTATCTTTTGAGTTTCTCTTAATATATGTTGCCTTTTCAGAAAAGATACCAGTATCTCTCTGCGAGTATACTAATTATCCATAAATGACACACTGATGTTAAATACGAATCATTTGTAACTGAGAAAACAAATTACAAAGTTTTATACCATGCATTTGTCTTACTTGACAATATGTGCATATAGCAGAGATAATAAAAAATTAAATTTAACGTTAAATAGAATTATTTTGTAATGTTAACACAATGATGATATCTTTTTATAAAGTTTTATATAATTTATGAGATATAGATGAAATAACGTAACGTTGCTTAATCTAGGAGTTAAAAAGTTACATAACATTGTGAAACTAAAAGAAATAACATGATGATTCTTTTTCTTGAGATTGTAGAGGTTTTGCAGAATTTGCTTTCTTTATCAATATCTAATAATGTGAAGCCACACAAAGTAAAGTAATATATTAATATACTGTGAAATTTATTTTACAGACAAATCCTTGCAAACATCCAATAATCTTTATGCGGGATGTTGAGTTTGAACATCTACAATCGTTATTGGAATTTATGTACGCTGGAGAGGTAAATATCTCGCAAGCCGAGTTACCTACATTTCTGCGTACTGCTGAATCTCTTCAAATACGTGGCCTCACCGACTCCCAGAACAATCAGCACAACAACGAAAAGGTTGGTTTGATATACACGGTACTGTATTTTTGTAAGAAATTTGCAATGTGTATAATGTTTAACAATTTTTCAGCATTTGAAGACGAATAACATCCACGCATCGAACGGCCGTGGTCTGATCTCGCCGAGCTTTGACGACGAACGCAGTAGAACTCCGCCACCTTCGAGCCCTCCACCATTAAAAAGGCTGTGTAAAAAAAGTGATTCACCTCCAATTTCTAGTCCAGCATCCGCTGTGCCGCCTACCATTGCACCTCGTTCACGCCCGCTTATCGAGCCCCAAGTTCAACTCGATTGTTACAAAGATCTCGATGTTATTGAGGTATATTATACAGCCTGCTAAATGTGTTGTTTCTGCTTTTATTGTGTATTTTTACCGACATATATTCTGCAATTCTTATTTTCAGCCAAAAATAGAACTACCTGAATATGGCAGTGATGACGATTGCTCACCTAAACAGGAAGCCAACACGATACCCAGTGGATTCCTCAGTTTGGATAGCAGCGGTATGGAAGTGTTGCCGTCTTATCCATCATCGTATCAAGGTAATTTATTTTATACGAAATGCAGTTTATCGCTTTTTCTTGAGTACTTCCTGGAAGAAAAATATTATATTGTCATAATTCCTTCCAACGTTTTATTTTAGGAAACCAAAATGTGGAAGGAGGAATGCCAGGACCATCCCACGGGAGCACGGAGTTAAATCAGGAGCAGCAAGGTGAGTCACAGTATTTATTATTTGTTGGTAGTGCGAGCACCATTACAAACAGCAACAACCTAGCCATTACATCACAAAATATCAAATGTGAGTAGAGAGAAGGAAGCAGAAAGGAATCTTTGATGGTTTGAAATGGTAAGCTCGTGTGTAGCTCGGTAGGTCTTGGTAGGCGGTAGGAGACATTTGACACTCGGAGGCTACAATAGGCCTGAAGTCCACAGAGTGCAGTTTGCAGTTAAGCAGCTGTGTTGTATGAACGTTACCGAATAATAGCCCGGATACTGTCGAATTCATTAACAACTAAGTTCTGCGTGTACATATATATTTGAAGAAACAACCCTATCTTTCCTAATACGCTTTTAATATTTTGTTTTCCTGCTTCACGTTTATATTAATGCATATTTTATACACACATACACGTACGTACGTACGTACATAAACACACATACATTACTAGGTCACCTTAATGAAATGTTTAATACATACAGAATAATCGCTTATTAAAACAGTTAACCTATAGACGATAGTATCAACGGAAATTATTTTATAATTAGATGCTTTCTCGTTTACTAATTATAAACGCTATATTTCCACACAAATATCAAAGATGTTTTTGAATTGGCTTGTACATATTGCTTTGAATACACTATTTTATTCGCTATATTATAATTATTAAAAACTATATTTAATATAATTTAATAATTATTGTTGAATAAACAGCAACAAATATGCAAAATTATGTTATAAATTGAATAGTATAATATTTTTATAATTATGTATTTCTGAATTTATAAACTAATTGGTTTGGTATTTTCTATTATAAAGAAATCGATCTTATATTTGTTTGTCAAATAATTTAAAGTTATTAAAAATGGCACATATCACGAATTTGTGTAAACACCCCTTCTAATATCTGTCACTGAGAAATATTATTTGTTCAGTAGAAAGAAAGAAAGCGAGAAATGTGTACAAGACTACTAATTTCTGGTTCTCATTATTCATCGACTTCATGCTTACCATTGTTTTCAAACTATATGTTTTTTCTTACTGCATTACCGTTGTTTTGTCTGCCAAAAAAAAACATACTTGATTCATTGCATTCCCTTGCAAGTGATACTCTCTTGCGAGATGAACCCCTTTTGTACTTGTACCGTGCAGGCAGCAAATAAAAAAAATTTGGGTAGCGCTAATTTAGGGTTGTTTGCTGGTTGTTGCTGTCCTGTGGTGGGTGGTATCTCTCATTCTTGATTTTTTTATGATACGTGGTGTGACAAAGGCGTGGTGCTATTGCTGTGGTAACGTGCAAATCGCTGTGGGCTGCTACCGGTTAGAGCAAGTTGTGTGTGTGTTGCAGCTGACCTGCGTAAACTGCACTCGCTGGACCCACGCCCTTGTCCTGTGTGCAACCGCATGTACAGTAACTTGTCCAACCTGCGGCAGCACATGCGCCTGATCCACAACCCTCAGAGTGTCACTTGCCCTCTATGTAACAAGCCATTCAAGACCAAGCTGTACCTGAAGCGTCACCTGGTCAGTTTCCACGAACTCACTGTGGCAGACAGGCAACGTCAGGAGGAGATCTACCAACATCAAGTTAAGGTTCAGGTCCAGGGACAGACGCAGGTTCAGACAGGATCTCAGACTCAAACACAGACACAAGCTCAGGCACAAACACAAGCTCAGATACAAACTCAGACTCAGGTGGATAATAAGGTGCTTTTAGCGGCCACTGCTCCGCCGACTCCTTGGGGTAGTAATAACACTACCGCCGAGGAGAACGGCGGGGTTGGCGGCGGCGGCGGCGGCAGCAGCAGCGGCAGTGGTAGCGGGAGCGCCACAGAACCAAAGCTCAGATCGTATCAGACGCAAGCTGGCGACAATGCTTACTCGGTAGAAGTAGCGCAGATCGGTGATTCAAAGCATTTTGCTAGCGGGATGTTGCAATTCGACGCCACACATCACTAATATACAGGATTTATTTATTTTTTAATCTAATCGCCCAGTATATATATGTCGTTTTGTGATATAGTAACGAAGTCTCTCGAGTTTATCTTTTAATTGTTTAGTGAACTTGTGATTCAATAGGAAACGTATCTTCATATTATAGTTGAGAACGGACAAGTAGATAGAGATAACGTTACGACACACAAGGCTGATTCCATATTTAATAATCGGGGAGGACTGTCCGTGCGCTTCCGCGCGCGCACGGACCTGGCCGTACCTTATAATTTTAAATAGATTGAAACGCATACATATGCAATTCTTGTCACATACAAAACATGAGCGGAAGTGAGGAAGACAAGAAACACGATTGACGGTCGCGCACTTCATTGTTTTCGTCCATAAATAAAAAGACGCCTATACCGGATCCTTCGCATGAAGGAATTCTCGTTCATACAAAGGATCAGGACAGTGTATATAGGTTTGGGAGACTAGTTTAACATATAAAAGTCCCGTGCCTATTCATCGTAAACGATGAACGCTGACGAAGGGAGAGAAACGAGTAAAAAGAAAAAAAAAAGAAAAAAAGCCGAAGGTGGAGCAGCCATCCCACCTCGTACTGATAATTCTGCAGCCGGATACTTGTTGTTTTATTTAATGCTATACAGTGTTATACAGACTACAGATATTTACAACAATATTATATTCTTACAGAGGAGATTATATTTACTTTATTATTGCAAACTGCAATGTGCAATGACATAGCTCGTACATGATATATTTTTCACATGCATACATTGCAATATACAGCCAATTGACAGCTCAACAGAATAATAATATTTATTATTAACAGTTATCAACAAACCGTGATCGCAATAATGCAGCAGATTGAATTTAACAATATATAATAAGAGAGCAATATCTCTGCTGGTTTTCTTTACATGCGTTGTTCGTAGATGAATCTTATTTTTTTCTGCGTTTAAGATATTAGTACATGGATATGGATTGTATGTTTATTTTTATTTATTTAATTTTTTTAAAGATATTAAAGGGATTTAATTTATATACTTAAATACGTAAATTGTAAATTAAATTTACAATTAGTTTCAGCGTTTAGTAATGTTTGGTAATATTTATACTAATGTTCTTTGAAAAAGAAAAAACAGTTTTTTATTTGAAGTATATAGATTTTTTTTTTTAATACATCGATTAGTTTTTGTTTTTTGTTTTTTCAAACACACTGATGTAACATAAAAGTGTGTACGTAATATAAACACGATAGTGTTTCATTAAGTTCGTGCATATAGTAGGATTAACTTTTTGGTAAGAAAAATACTACACCTAGTGTATCGTTTACAAGAAACTTTTTTTTCATGCATATTGCTTTATTTATTTATTTATTTAGTAAGATTTATATTTTTTAATTTAGCATTTTTGGCAACGTGTATTTAATAAGAATGTATACATTATCTTTAACTCTCTGTATCGTTGAAACGATAATTCTATTATAGTATCAGTATTTCCGTCGTAAACTTTGTTTTTATCATAGTTTTAGGTTTTCGTTTTTATATTTATTATTATACACTAATTCGTAAATTTTAGTTTTTTCATTGAAGCAAACCAGCACAGATATCTGCCACACAATTCCATAGCCATAGTACCACACAGTACAACTCAGGATCTTTTATATTATATTTTACAGATGACAATAGTTCCATAAAAGTACGATTTATACAAACAGCGATTCTAGGAAACGCGTTAAAAAGATAAGTTCCCTAGAATCGTGACTTCGTAAGTCGTACCCGTTCATAATGACAGGCTCCTTACCTCACATACAATCAAATTTACTAAACAGATGCAGCTATATATTATTAATAATATATTTACATACAACAATTTACAATAGTACCGGGAAATAGCGGCGGTTGCAACGACTGCAACCACCGAAATAAAAAAACACAGATTGCCGAATATTATACAAACGGTTTTTATTATCTGTTATTACATTGGTAAGTGATTGCAATGTTTTTTTACAAGTTAAATATGTAATTAACAGAGAGATGTACATTCAAAGAATCTTTTCGTTCTTACGATAACGATAATGGATGCCCAGCACACAACTGACAATTAGTACCGAAATAAGATTAGATTATAAATGTTGCATATCATATTATAATATTGTTATACCTTTGCCAAGCCAGTGTTACACACACATTCATCAATTCTCAGGCCTCGGATCATTCACTAGATTTTATTTTATTTTCTAAGGAATAATAATAATTCTTTACACAATATCTTTATTGTATAATATAAATATTATTGTATATACTTCTCGAAAAGTTAGAGATTCAATCATCTGGATTCAGCAATATTTTGTAGCACAGAAAGAGTGAAAAAAAAGAGAGAGAGAGAGAGAGAGAGAGAGAGAGAGAGAGAGAATGGTGATTTATTTTCTCTACTTCTATATATAGAATATTGTTTATTCTTGTTATTGTCTATTTAGCTTTGTTTTTCTCGCGTTTTTAGCAATAAGATCTATTATACAACATTGACATTTTATATTTCTAAGAATTTAGCCGACTTTATTTCGAGATATTCAATTGTCTTTGTATCCGCTCGATCCTTTGCCTGAGAGAATCCATATACTGTGTATATCAAAGTGATGTGTTACAGAATGTCACATAATAGTAAGCATCATTTGACAGGCCGGACTTCGCTGGGCATTAACACACCGGTTAATCTAGCTAGTATCACAATACAATTCCGTAAAAAATAAAAAAAACAAAACCCACTGTTATTAATTGCGATTGTATTAACAAATTCAAATAGTGTGCAAACATATATTTCATGTAACATCCGCAGCACGGAGACAACTGAAAAAAAAGGGAAATGAAAACATTAACCAAAAGAAAAAAAAACAGTCGATGAACAAGCACACATTTTCCGCTAATAACAAAGAAACTTGCAAGCTAAAAATCCCGCATAGTATTTTTTGGTCTAATAATAATTTACCGTGTATTAAAAAGTGTATCAAAACAAGACACTACGTGTGTCCTTAAAAAAGTATCTCTTTGTGATGAAATACGATACTCTTGCCATTTTTGCAAAAATAACCAAAACAAAAAAAAAAAAAAACAAAAAACAAAAAAAGAAAGAAACTCGATGAGTAGGTACAGAAAGCTCACTGGAAAGAAAAAATATCTTTCGTCTGCGATAATAAGTTTTAACTTGATCCTACTGCGATTTTAGCATATTTGTATTATGAATGCGTTGTTACGACTCTTATTACTGCTACTGCGATAAACTACCAACTGCTATTATTACCACTATGGATACTATTAACTATCACTATTACTACTACTATTTACTATCCTCCTACTACGATTATATTATTATTACTAGTTAAATTCTAAATTTGAAACATATATATGTTTCGCGTCTAATTGTCGTGAAGACGATTTGTGTTCGAAAGGATAACGTATTATTTTCGTTTCCCGCGTCGCACGTGCGCGCTATTTTTCGATCGTACGTATAAGAAGAATCAATATCTTTTAGCGCGTTTGATTATGTGTTGTATATATTGTAAATTATTATGTAATTTTTATGCGCGTCACAACAACAAAAAAAGAGGATAACTCGTGTGTATTCGATCGCTCTAGTTGTTACTAATATATACATAGCTATAGGGGATATTTTTTCTCGATTGAGAAGATAATATACGGTCTCTTTTTTGAACGATGGACATCCTCCTGTACACCGTAATATTATTTGAAGCTTGTTTCACGACTTCAAATTTGATTTACGTTATTTATACACACACATTCGGTGATTTGAAAAAAAAAGTTGTTTCTAGTCATAAAGAAATTTTTTTACGAATTTGTTTAGAATTCGTATTATTATTTGTTGGACATGTTGTCAGTATTAGATCTTTAGAATTATTTATCTGTAATTGGAAATTATACAGTAAGGAATTTCTTGTTTAGAAAAATATTTTCTTTTTTTTTTAAACGTATGTAACGATTATTGTACGTTTTTGATTACTTTATATATGTATATGTGTGTATATATAAATATAAATTATATATATATATATATATATACACAAATATAAATATATATATGTATATATACATATATAAATCTATATATTTATATATATTATATATGTATGTATATATATGTGTATAATTTTTTAAAAAAAAGAAACTAATGTGGAAAACATGTATGTACTTAATATTTTTAATTATCATTTTGTTATCATTATTGCTATATTTTATAATTAAAAGTATTTTATAATTAAAAGTCTTTTGATCTTTAAAATAGACTCGATTATTTTTTGCGACGGAAATAAATTCTTCGATTAGTATGTTTTGCGACATTTTGAGTATGTTTTATACAAAATATATGCGCGGCAATACTTGAAATGAATAATGTAGTAGTGATCTATTGTGAGAAAAAAAATAAGAGTACGAATGATATTAAAATCGGAGGTATTAATAAAATGCAAGACGGAAAAAGGAACTGCATTTCGTGGTGCCTCGTTCGAACAAGAAACCGCATTTTTTTAACACACAATATATCCGACATAATTTTTTACGTAAAATTTTCTGTTCCCCGATCGACGTGTCGCGGCCCTTATACGAGCGTACTTTTTCAAAAGTATCTAAGCTTAAGATAGTTTAGGCTTTAGTACGAGCGAGAGGCAAAAGAAAAAAAGAAGAAAAGAATGCGAAATTTTCGATGTAAATAGCGGCAATTTTTTCAATACGAGCGTATCTCGAGAGGATAAAGATATTTCGCTTCTGAAGTAGTCACACGCTAAATATTTAAGTACGATATTTATTCAAATCATGGCGTATCTGAAGAAAACAAATAATAAGTTATTCTCTAAATAAGATATACTGGAAGGTCAAATAGAGCGTCTCGTGTGCTATCCGTATATAATTATATATAACGGCAAAAAAAAAAAAAAAAAAAAAAAAAAAAAAAAAAAAAAAAAAAAAAAAAAAAAAAACAAAAAAAAAAACAAGTAAAAGTATACATACGACTGATTTTCAATGAGTGCGAATGTGCGTACGTAATGTGTAACTGTATTAAGATGTATAAGAGAAATGAGAGAAATGAGAGAGAAAGAGAGAAAAGAAGAGAAAGAGAGAAAGGAAAAAGGAGAGAAAAAAATGTTAGGAAGTGAAGTACAGTAATTTGTACTTGGCGGAATTTCTGAGCAGATAATTGATGAGAAAATTCGTACAGGCTTTTGTAAATGTTTCTCTTCGATACGCGTGAAGATTAAGGAAAAGATATTGCGCGTGCGAAGGGCAATCTAGTGGAGTTCCTGGTAGAAACTTGTAACTGCACATAATTGTGAACAAGTAAACAATTGTCGTTTATTATTTTCCGACATGTAATTATATGTACAATTTCGACATGTATATTATATACGTGAAAATTATTTTTACAAACCTTATATTATCTATATTTGTGATATAGAAATGATATTCACTTAGTTAGATAAATTGTTCGAAATTAGTGATTGAAGATTTAAATACGCTCTTATTAGTTCCTATCAGGAGACTTCCCTATAACAATTTTGTAATCACAAAATCGGTAAAGAATGAAAAAAAAAAAAGACAGAAAATCGATAAAGTGCTCTTTTTAGGCTGAGCTATGGACGAAAGTGACTTATTGGCTTAATGTAAAAAAACAATGTGACGGACGTTGGAGTGAGAAAGTGCAAATTCTCTAATTTACGCTTTTAAAGGCATTTAGATTATCGTTTTCTCCGACAAGCAATTATCTGGACAGAATGAGCTCTGCATCAAAAAAAAAAAAAAAAAAAAGAAAAAAAAAGAAAAAAAACTCGAATTCGTAACGTGAACAAAAATCACTTACTTACCGAGAGATGTATATTTTACTTTTGGCTAGATGTTTCTCCGCAATATTTTCTTCTTGAAATTTGATACGCCAAGATAAATTTATTTATTGTAACTGTGCGACACTCTGTTGTATTTAACTGACTAGCGGTCGGTGATGGGCATAAACGGTATTTGACAGATTTGGATACATGTGCAAACAATATCTCTATATGATAAATTCAGTTAACGCGGTCAGTCAAAACATTTTATATTTTAATAATTTGGAATTGTGTGAAATATCCACAAAATCTTATACTTTAAATATTTAATATCAGTTTTGTAAGAATAGCGTATAATTAATATAAATCTTTACTTCCATTAATATGATAATTAATCTCGATCGACGTTTTTACACGTAACTTGCGTAAATTCACAGACAACAATATTAGTTTTAGATCAATTCTCTAGATCAGTTTTCGTTTACATATGTTTTTCATTCTCATTTCTTTCGTTTCGCACGTGTAAGCGGACCTTGTAATCTCGTTAAAAACATTTAGATTTCACTTAACAATACCGCATTCGTGCGCATGTATCCGAAGCCCAGCACTACAAGTAGCTTAAGTATTGTTCAAACTTGCATCGAGTGCGCTTGCAATTTATTGCACAAATACGCTGCACTTAATTTATCGAGAATTCATCCGGAGCAAGACTCGAACCTTTGTGCATGAGGACACAAGTGCGCCGTGAATGCGATTCAATTCCATTATATCACCACGATATTTTTCGCAACTTCTTGTGATCGCTCGCGATTGTTCCGATTATCGATCGAATAGCGAAGTTTATGCAGAGACTGTTTTCCATTCCGTTATATTTCTTAGTTTTCTCGCACATTTATGTTTTTCCTAAGTTGTAACGTGATCGTTAAACATGAGACTGCAAATGTGATATTTGCGAAGATAAATAGTATTATATAATTGCCGTCCACTTTTCTGCGTAGAATGATTTTAATTTTTAGCTCAGCTGTTTTTAACATTTAATTTTTATTTTCCGAAATATTTTTTATGCGTTCAGTCAGCCTCATCGAGAGAAAAAAGAAATAGTTGCAGCAACTGTGTGCACGGTCAATTCCCGACATTGGCAGTATTTTTATAGTCGCTCTAACGATAGACGCTACATCATCATGAAGTTATCTCGATAACTTTACAGTAACAAATTATTATAAACACAGTTCTGTCCTGAACGTAATACTTTCGCTATGCAATTGTAGTTCCTAATATATACCAGACGTTTTTCTCTCAGTGATTAAGAAATAATCGTTTCTTAACGCACGGCATAAATTAGAAAATTTCATATTTTGTATGAATTAATAAAATTTTAAATTAACAAGAAATTACACACAAAATAATATAGAATATACAAAAAATTTCGATTCGAGCATGTTTTTATCTTTGCAAAAAGATATCGATTAAACACTCAGTGTAATAACGTAACTTAATTTTTTCAACAGTTGACGTTTTCGTTTATTATTCAAAAACTTTTTAGATAAATTATCGAAAAAAATGCACAAAGGACTGAATTAAAAAAAAAAAAAAAAAAAAAAAAAAAAATCAGCTTGCGAAGGATTTGCGCAGCACTGTCGAACTCTATAGCACGTAGAAAAACCTATACACACACATATATTCAACGTGCATTGATTTCTGCTAGCGACAGGTGCATCGAGTAGCCATAGATCTGTAATCGAGTGTGCTTTTCTCCTTATCCTTCTCCACTCCCACCCATCTCCCATTTTTGCGGCGCATAGATAGACAAACACATACATGCGAGTCTCATTATTTAATTGCAAAATATCGATGAACAAGTCGAAGACGTCGTTGTCGTCGTCCTCGATCTCGACACGGATCTCTTGCAATATTTCCCGCAAAAAAAACAACACAAACATTTATGCGTAATTCTATATTATAATAGCGATGTTCCTAAATGTTTACTTTCGCGTTTCTATGACGTTCCGATCACAAAAGAAAAAAAGAAACTATCGCGGACTTTCTCGGCCACTAAAAATAAAAAAACAAAAAAAAGCGAATTCCTATACTGTTACTGCAAATAATATATACCGCGAGTATGAAAAAAAGAGAAACTCTCCGTCTGGCTTAGCGCAATGTCCCGTCGTAGTGATTCATTCTGTACCCGAAATTTTGTCAAACGATACATTTGAATAAAGTAATTCACATTTGTACGGAATATGCATTCTCTGTTATTTTTACAAACAAAATTGGTAAACAAAATGATCAGGTACCTCTAGATCATTCACACTACCGATTTATATCTACACAGTTTTTAAACATACATATCACGGAAAAAAATGACAAGCTTTATTCATCTACTAAAAAGACAAATGCAGCCACACATTACAAATGATGATGTCCGAAGAAAAGCCAACGTTACTAAGGTAATTTCTAGCTGGACTTTCACGTACAGTTTGAGGGATTCGAGGGAAAGAGAGAGAGAGAGAGAGAGAAAAAGATTCCGCGGGCACATCGCTTCAAGATAACCGTGTGTAATAATTGTCCGGCGATCTCGGGCGCGAGAAAAGCGGAGAAGATGGTCGGGAGAAAGAGAGAAAAGAATTAAAAAAAAAAAAGAAAAAAAGAGGAGGCAGAAAAGGGGAGGAGGGTGATCGTGATCGCTGGACAGCTCGCGACGGACGGACGGAGAGGAAGGAACTAATCTAGATTGGTCGGCTGGTGTGTTGCAGCCGCCGCGGTCGTCTGCACGGAGGGAACGACGAGACCACCGCCGTCGGCAACGTTAACGATATCGAGTGCTTCTGCTGCGGAGCCGATCTGCACGTGGGACTCGCCGCGGCCGTGTCCGCGCTGCAACCGTGTCTACAGCAACAACAGCAATCTACGCAGACACCTAAGATCGGCCCACGCGACCGCACCTGAGCTCCTCCA